GTTATAACATAGATTAGTTTGAAAAGGATAAGCCCAAAACCAATACTCTTACAAATTTACCGTAGTCTACGTTACGTGTAACGATGTTCGAACAAGAAATCAAGCTAGGAAAACTGCATTATAGGGGAACAGAAAGTGTGGATCAGTCATTATGTAAAGAGAAGAATGTGATATATGTTTTGATGTTCAATGGTACACCTGTAAATTTATGGAATTCTATAGATTTCAAAAGATGCATCGATAGTGAGGTACATTGGATTTAGAGCTAAGCTAAGTTATTTGATCCATTATTACGACAAATAGACTAAAGCTGTTATCATTCATTGTACTTTGTGAGCATCAGTGATAGATCATCTTAAAGCAATGAAGCTAGAGGTAATTATTGAAGAAAAGTAAGTTAAAAGGTGCACATTCATTGATAACTTGCAAAATATCCCTAATATATTAGAAAACCGTCCGCGTCATTTGAGTAAGATATTTTGAAATATATAAGTATGTGTACTAATCCCTTGACAGATAAGTTACGCTTCTGATTTAAACTCTTGGACCACTGAAACTATAATTTTGAAATTACCAGTGCGCTTTCAGAGAAAATACGTAAAATAAATGTTACAAGATTATAAAAGAAGGTCGAGATCTTCTGTTAAGCGATCTTATTGAGTTTATAAGCGACCGATTGGACATAGTTAATACGATTGATTGATGACTGGGCAACAACCAATGTCATATATGTCAGGTCCTTCACAGTACAGAATGAATTCAATCGATCAAGATGTAATGTGGCTTCTAATTTAAGTAACTTGACATCGCATGCACTATGTTGAAATGAGGTGGTGGTTGGTTGCTTCAGTGTGCCAGGTCCAGGGCTTTCTATGGACTACTCCTTATCACCACCACATAGCTAATACTGGATTGTGGCTACTTGTCAACGGAAGTAGTGTGGCGGATGCTACATATTCTAACAGATATAATTAGTATGTACCACCAATCAGAAGTGGAATGTCTATCAACAAAAGGTTGAATTGTGGAGAACAGGGAGAATAGGGTTTAAGTAAACATGTGAATTCACTCCTTGATAAGTGTCGTGAAACATGTATTGATACAATGCATGAAACATTCATGAATATAAGAAAGTGTCATTATTTGCAGTCGTCCAGTCCTATTACTGATATACAAACTTCTTTTATGGATGCTTTAAACCAGATACTTAAGTGAGAGAGCCAAGAGTGAACAATAAGATTTTATTGGTTAATAGAATTAAGAGCAGATGTGAGGGCGAGGATCGGCAAAGTAAGAGCAGCATATTTACAACTGAAGAACATCTGGAACTCAAAACAATTATCAACCAACACGAAGATCAGAATCTTCAATACAAATATAAAAACAGTTCTACTGTATGAGGCGGAAAGCTGGAGAACTGCGGAAACCACCATCCAGAAAATACAAGTGTTTATTAACAGTTGTCTACGCAAGATACTTCGGATCCGATGGCCAGACACTACCAGCAACAAGTTACCGTGGGAGACAACAAACCAGATTCCAGCAGATGAAGAAATCAGGAAGAAGTTCTCGAAGTGGATTGGGCACACATTGAGGAAATCACCTAATTGCGTCACAAGACAAGCCCTCACATGGAATCCTAAAGACCAAAGGAGAAGAGGAAAACCAAAGAACACAGTACGCCGAGAAATGGATACAGATATGAGAAAAATATACAAAAATTGGATATAACTAGAAAGGAAGGCCCAGGACAGAGTGTGTTGGAGAATGCTGGTCGGCGCCCTATGCTCCACTGGGAGTAACAGGCGTAAGTACATGAAAAACTCATTAATAAATATCAATACAATCTGTTAAAAGTGATGAAAATTCTAACTTGATGGAGAAAAAAAACACGGAAAGCAGTGGTGAAAATAAAGTCCTTTAATAACTTTTTAACCTTCGTACATATCAGTAAGTCTATACACTTTACATATAGCTCTAGTTATAACGGTTAAGATGTGTAGTTCATCTGGAAATATGAAATTTTCCTGGTTAGTCAAATCAACGTAGTACCTTAAAAAACTATGCATTGGTCAAAGTTCACACATTACTTCATTATAGTGAGTGGAGGTTAACAAGATGAATAACAAACATGTCGGAGTAATAGTAGTAGTGCCAATGATGATAAAGAGGACTAAACAGGACTAGAAGTATGAAACAATCTGTGCAATGAAAATTATCAATTCTGTCAAAGCATACAAACACGAGGCTGAGGTACGCGTGAAAACCAAGTTAATAAAAATTTACTCAAAGAGCGGTTCTTTTATAGTGAACGAGAACACAAGTGAGGAAAATCCGATGGATTTAAATATACCTACCTGCCATGCTGGCAGGTGTGAAATACCTGGTTGGGATTTACGAGATGATTGCAATCGATAGAGACCTTGAATGACATGGCTCAAAAGCGTTTGCAATGGCGAAGGTGCATTCATTATTTGTGTTCTACCAAATTAATAATCTTCTGATTTCTTCATGTCTCTATCTTTTTCTCTTTCCAAATTTATTTCACCAGATAATAGTCCTTTAATAACATCTTCAAACCCTAATCTTTTGGATTACCACTTCTACCACTATGGGATTCGAATCGACAACTGCATCTGTGTGTTAATATGGTATAGCGACTCGAACTGATGTACGTACGTATGAAGTTCTGCGTTGTGACTGACTGAAATACGAAATTGCAGAATCTCTTTGGGAAATCTGAGAACCATACAGAAAATACTTCGTTTGTAAAATGTTAATCAATCGTCTCAGAATTCATTGTTCTTTCGTTTCCATACCAATCATTCTTTGTTCTCTTTTCTATGATCTTCTTAACCTTCGACTTTCAGGTATTTTACTTTCGATTGATGATACATACTAATTATATCTGTCGACATCAGTAGCACACACCACACTACTGATACCCTGACCGTTACTGCTACTTTGACGTGGTGGTCAGGCTTGCCCGTCATGATGAGACAATCGGGATACACTGACTGAAACAATTGTTCCTCAAGGTTCTACCATACCAGACAGGTCGGTTGAAGAATGGTAAGACTAAAAGCAACAAACGAAAGGTCTGAGACGAACTGCTGACCTTACAGATATATGACGACATTATTGTGTTACCCACAGATAACTAGATAACAGAGACGATACCTTCAGGAAAATTCGACCCTAAGAATTCACACCTCGCCGTATTTCACGGACATCTGCGGTAAGGTCTCAACAAGCACGGAACTAACAGAAAAAAGTAGTGTGTAACGGCCTCAAGCAGTTGTCTCTTGGGTACTGAGATCACGCCCTCAGCTTAATAAAACCAACTCTAACCCCAATTCCTTCGCAGGTACCTCTAGAAAAACCCCTCCACGATGTGGGCAACCGGGAAGTGAGAACAGCCGTCATACCTCTAACAGTACTCAAGACCACTGTACAAAATATATGTAAATTGGTTACACATCTCAATTCCTGACGTCTCTTTGGTGGTCAACTCGTCTTCATATGTGATACGGAAAACGCTACTTGGAACAAACACATAGGTGTTAATTTTAACTTACGATGACAAATCACAATCGCTAGCTGCCTATAATTAGTAATGACTATTAGCAATCGAACGGCGATTAAGAATACAAAAATATGAAGCTTTTGAGTTGAAACAAAGATTCATAAGTGTAAAGATACTGCAAGAAACTTCTTTAAGTGTTAAAAATGTTTAAATACAGTAATAAATATAGCGACTATTACTGGTTTTTATAAATACTGAAGAATATTATGCGGAACCAATTGTACGTGACATCTGCATGGTTATTAGAAACAAACTGGTTACTGAATATTATTAAGTAGTATAAGGTAACGTACAAAATTGAACTGACTGAACCATATCAACTAATGTATGGATTTCTGATTACTATTTCCTCATATCCAAAGACAAATATTTCATGAACTGCTACGACGTTTTGATTCAGCCTCTCTTTCTTCCCCCAGTATATTCCTACACTAACCAGCATTGAGGTTGGTGGTGAATGTTCTAACGTAATGCGACTGTAGATAGTCTTAATCAATTAAATTTTAAAGCCTTTACTTAGTACCTTACACGCGACCTACCTACAATACGTAAACAATGCCTCGAATACATCTCTGGTTAAATACCATTAACCTTATGAAAGTCTCTGGTTTCAAAGCAATAAAGTGAAACAAAGAAAATCTTATAAGCACCTATCAATAAACACGTAGATAGTCTCGAATAGGTTACCAATATCGGAATTCGATAAAACCTAAATGAACTTTATAAATCCCTATCTAATTTTTATCCACTACTAACTCTCGAATATTGCATAATCTTCTGAAAAAATTTTTTTGAAAATTACATTTATATTGGTAAGATGTGGTCAGTCTGTTCGGTATATAAACTCAGTATGTTTGAAATACAAGGATTCATACCACAGAGACTGTTCTGGACTTAACTGGCTGGGCTAGGCAGAAGCAGGGCCGATACCTACTCTAAACTGCTCGTATGGTTTTCGTGTATTACTGTTTCACTCGATAATTCGCTGCTCTCTAATTGGCGGTTTTATCAAGTTCATACATTAAATGGGCATCCACTCGGCCACAAGTTATAACAATGTAAAACAATACGCACAGTATGCACATATGCCAATTAGAGACTGACCAGTTGCAGTCCTAAACACATCGATGGGAAGATCCAAACAAACAATACTAAGTGAATTCAAACTTCACCCCATCGCACAAGCAAGTGGCTATCAGGACTCAGTGGCCGAGTGGATAACGCGATGGCGTTTGAAGCGAGGGTACTGGGTTCTAGTCCCAGAATGAACATCAACTCTGAGATGCAGGTACATCCAGCTGACGAGTCCCAAATAGGACGAAACGCGCGTCCTGGATTCCACTGCTAGCCACTATCCATCTCTGCTTACAATGTAAAACAATGTTATTTTGAAAGAAAAGAACTGTGAAAGAGTAAATCTGGAATAAAAAAATTTATTACACACACACACAAACATAAATAAATTTACAATTCAGGATGTAATTTCCTAAATAATTCATCAGGATCTTCACTGCATGCAGCAGGTGTGATCAACTGCATAACATATTCACAACGAGATGGTTCACTCACTGAAGTCAGATGATTTGAGTCACCACAATGGACAAAAACCTAGATTTTTTTTTGAAGAAATGGGAAGTAAATGAAGATCGTTTACATTGATTTATATTATAAAGTCTAAACGATAGTACAATAATTGTCTTTTTTTGTATGGAAAAGAATTCATAAGACTGTTTTCATGTTTTATGTAGTTGAAGGTAATAGGCAAGAAAACAGAATTTACATTTTATGTCAGTTGAATTATATCATTGAAACATGCCTGAAATCTTGTGGAAACTGATGTTCCCTAGGATTAGCTTCACAGTCTAAGACATTACAAGTGAACTGTCCAGGCTGTAACTCATCTGTTGTTATATCTTCGACAGACAATAGGTGGATTGACAGAATAGTCAGCTAGAATACAACAAGTTAGTTACTAATATAAGCAGAAGCTCCATCTGGTAACTGCCGGAAACTCTTTCAACTCATCTGTGCCACTCGCAGAAAGAAGTCTGGTGTGAGTGAAACAATCTGTGAGGATGAAGGGATGCCAAACACTAACATCTATCAACGTTTAGGACGAGAGGTAGTTCAACTGGTCTGCTACTAAGACGGCATCGACTAGACTTTCCTGTCTTCTATGACCAGTGACGACTGCTCCACCGAATGAAGCGGAAGTCCGCAAGAAAACTCCAACTCTTGAAACGCTAAATATCACCGGGCCTAGATAACTTACTTCCGGCTCTTTTTAAAGATTGTAGTGACTTTCTGGCTAAATGATTGATTGAGTTGTTTACAAAGGTCTGGGAGCTAGAGTGTTCCAACGTCATCGGATGAGTCAGTAATTGTCCCTATCTTTAAAAAGGGTTCACGTTGTTTCTGCAAAAACCATAGGGGTACAAGTCTAATTCCGATTGTGTCTAAACTATTGGCTTCCGTCATACTTCGTAGATTGTTCAAAACCCGAGAACGATCGACTTCGCGAGGAGCAGGCTGGTCTTCGTTCTGGTCGAGGATGCATTGATCACATCTTCACCCTCCGCCAAATGTTAGAACACCGTCATACTTATCACAGGCCAACAATCGTAGTGTTTCTTGATATCAGGGCGGCCTTCGATTCGTTGGACAGGACTGTTCTCTGGGATTGTCTATTGAAGAATGGTGTGCCTGAGAAGTTCATTAACATCTTAAAGGCCCTGTATACGAACACTTCAGGCAGAGTGAGGGCATACAACCACCTTTCTCCCTTGTTCCATTCGAGCAGTGAGGTTAGGCAGGGTTGCCCAATCCCACCATTCCTCTTCAACGTTGCCATCGCTGACATTCTGGAAATAGCTCTGATGGATGTAAGTAATGGCGGTGTGGATCTGCTGCCCGGCGAAAGACTTCTCGACCTTGAGTATGCGGATGATATTGTCTTACTGTGCCATAATACCCAAGCCATACAATCCGCACTTAATCAGTTGGCAATCAGTGTCCATAGGTATGGTATGTGCTTTGCACCTTCGAAGTGTAAAGTACTTCTACAAGACTGACATGATTCTAATCCTGTACTCACCATGGGTGGTGAGCAGATTGAAGTAGCCGAGAAGTACATATCTCTGGGTAGCTGCATAAGTGTTTGCGGTGGCGTAAGTGATAAGATCAATTCGAGTATAGTGAAAGCCAGAGCGCCTTATGACGATCTGGGTCATCATGGGAGCCTTCGTGATGTTAATCTGACTGAAAAACGTCGGATCTTCAACACGTTGGTTAAAGCAGTTTTGCCCTATATTACCAATTTAAAGGTCAAATACAGAAATAATGAATTAATTCGTCAAAGAGAATCTGTTTTCCTGATTAACATAAAATACTAACACTTGAAACATCAGTTTTATGCCTAACCAACTGAGCTACAAGATATCGAGTATACCAATTTGTAACTTTAATTTTTGCTAGTAATACCATAAACATCCTGTCTTTTTTATGTTCTGCCAGTGTACAATTGACATTCACGAAACGAACATCACCCCGTCTTTCCTCTTCCATTGGATCGTTTAGTACATCACTTTGTCTCTAAGCTTTCAAATGGCTACATATTCAAACGAGTTTATTTCTTTTTGTTGAAGTGAAGAAAGCTATCTTCCGATTACCGTATACATTAGAAACTTATAAAGTGCTGTTGGCTGTTTATCGTCAGCTGGTACTGGGCTCATAAAATTTAGAGATATGTTCTCATTCAGAAAATCGAAAACAGATTTAAGCCATGCTTCAGATGTGAAAGCTAATGGTATTAATGAACTTGCCCAAACCGAAGAAGGTGAAGAGGGATTCGAACAAGAAGCTTAATACTTGTTCCTATAGTTATATAGTTACACAAATTAATCAGAATTAATTTGGCAAATAACGTAAGATAACCACCATCATCATTAGAATAATTGCATGAATAAAGAATGCGAATACAAAACAATTTCATTCACAAACAGAAACTGAAATATTATAAGCAGAGATGGATGGTGGCTAGCAGAAGAACCCTGAAGACACGTTTCGTCCTACTTGTGACTCGTCATTTGGATGAACCTGCACTGAGCTGCCGCACACTCTGGGACTCGAACCCAGTACCATTCGCTTCGAACGCCATCACATTATTCACTTAGCTACTGAGTCCAGCTAGATACTGATTAATCGCAGTCCTAAACATCAATGGGAAGATTTAAACAACCAATACAAAAATAAATTAGAAATTGAAATATTTTGAAAATATACCTTGGTAGTTCTTGTTGGTCCATTCCAACACTGTTGACCATTTTCGTAATACATAACTTTATAAGACTTTTCATACTCATCAGATTCTAACCAACGACCCCACCGACCTATACATGTTCCTGGATCAGAATTCGATGAACCAATTGATTTTTGATGAACTGATTTAAAAGGACAAAGGCTGTATGTATATTCTCGATCGTTCAACTCTAAACAACCATCTGGTAATTCAGTAAGCATACGAAAACCTTCTTCTGGCCCATAGTCGATAGGAATAGGCGTCGGTATACTGTAAAAAGCAGGTAGTAAAACTCGAATGAATCAGATACATTCGATTAATAGAGCAAAATGCCTGATTTTCCGTTTACATTATTCTTGAGGCAGTAAAAATTCCCTATGGTCTACTAAGAGAACAACTTTCATGAGGTAGACGATAGCGACTGACAATAATAAACAAACATGCGTAACTCATACCGTGTGGAGGGTGAGAGAAACATTAGTCTTAAGTAGTCAAACTTTGGTGAATTGGTTTATATGCTTCCAGTGAGTATTTATAAAAACGGCTATCTTATAGTAAATTTATATGGTACTAACTTTAAGCTACCTTTTAATTCATTTATTGTTAGCATATCGACTGCCGTTTATGTATCGAAGTATTGTCAGTTACCAGACTAAGAGATGAAGGTACTTCTGATCATTTTATCTCCCTTTCATGTATTCTGATTAGATGTTTGAGTACATGAGGATTTTCGAACCCAACTAACCACGTGACAGATACAGTAACGTAGATGAAAATACGACTTTTTTTAAAACAAAATAAAGTGGACTGAAAGGATAATCGATTTAAATTTGTACCTGATAAGTTACATAATTTAACTGGTGATTATTTTTAAATTTTCATCAAACTAATGAGGCACCATTTATTTATTTAAACACATAAATATTGGTACAAGGAAGCGCCAGATACATATGCACCACACAAATCTCATTCCATGTGTGAGGGCTGTAATACTGCCCAGGTGCCCAAACTGAAGCAGGTGGTTTCCTCAGGAGGCCACACCCAGAGCCTTTGATCTAAAAGTCTAATCCACAAGGCAGTGAAGCAACGTAAGGAGATGCAGTCCCATAGAAGCCGGTGACCAACGATTGATTCATATGCCATTTGTTCACTCAGGATACTGAAGCCAGCCCATGTGCACCATTGGTTTGGAATGAGAACTTTCCAACTCCCCTAGGTGAAATTTCCGTGTCCACCAACCCGGTTAAAGCGCCGGACATTCGCTTTTCATCCTCTCAATTTCGTAAACAACAGTGATGCCACTAGGAGGCAGTGAGTAGAACTTCCCTGGCAGAGGCTATATACGCGTGGCCATGTGAGAGCATTTCTAGAGGGAGAACGGACTCTCTTCACTCTCGGCCATACCAGGGCATATGGGGGCCAAACTAATTGGTCTTGTATCTAATCAAAAGTTTGTCTATTCCGATGATTTAGCTCAATTTGGAGATACGGGGAAAAATTTGTATATGTAATTGAATTGATATGCAATTAGTCATTCATTCATGTGATATTCTCACACAAAACTTGATAACCGAAAAGAAAGTTAAATTTTCCAATCCATTTAGTAAAGAAATAAACTGGTTTACAACTAGATGATTCTACCATGGACTTTATTTTTGTTGCCAACTTTAATTATCATACCTGTGTTGAAAAATCATTCCGCCAATAGAGGACATTTCAGATAGTCTAATTGATAAAAATGTATAAAATATTGAATAATTCTAAGAAGATTAAGTCATAATTTTGAAGTAACGCAAGATTGTATTTTATTAGTATATAATTATTTTGTAGAGATGAATACATCAGAGAAGTTTCTTCTGTTTAAACTCTAATAGGATTGATTGAAATTATCGCATTAACATAGTTGGATGCCAGATCAGTAGTCTAAAGGTTAAATGTTCCCAAGAAGGACCGAAGATTCTGGGTTCAAGTACCGCTTGCGGGATCATAGATACGCACTGTTGAGGAGTCCCATACTAAGACGAAATGGTTGTCCGGTGATTCCGGGTTTTCAATGGTGGTCCAGTTAAGAGAGACTGACGAATTCAACTATTAAAATTACTACAATTTCCCAAAAACCTCATTCTGAAAATAAGGATTTGCAATCGAATAATGATTTTGAACTATAAAAATAAAGGTATATTAGCTGATGAATGGTGTTATAAGAGACAATTTAACAAGATGAAATGAAAGCTTGCGAAGTTATTTTTTCTACAACTTTATTTGTACATATATTGATTGCATTTTGTGTTGTGTTTTTAATTTTTTTTATTACCCCAGTCCTAAGCTTTTGTTTAAATCATAATTTGTTGCTATAGCATTTTCCACCCATATTGGTTGCTTAAAGTCGTCAACGCGTATTGGTAGGTTTTAGGACATAACAGAATATAACCAATAGAAAGCTCTGGATGTAAGTTTTATATTGATTAGCACTCGTCTGGACTGATGTCCCCTATGTGAAAATCGAGTCTATATTATAATTCGAATTGTTAATACTGAGTTATTTAGCCCATGACTAACCTCATATAAGAGAGACATAAATACAAATTTACCGATAATAAGCAGTAAGTTAATTTTATGTTAGAAGGGGTTTTGTGGAGATTTAGTATTTTCATAGTTGAAAGCGTGAATCGATTGAAGCTAGACCACCAAGGAAAACCTGAATGCATTGGATGGCCGTCTCGTCCTATTGTGGGACTCCTCAGCAGTGGGCATCCATGACTGGTAGGTCCTGGGTTGGAATCTCGAGAGGCGACATCGTGGATGCGCACTGCTGAGGAGTCCCACAATAGAACGAAACGGCCGTCCAGTGCTTCCAGGTTTTTCTTAGTGTCTTAGCTTCAACTGACTCACTCTTTCAACTATAATTTTATGTTAATTTAATCCCAAGTGGTGTTTATTGAATTCTGTTAAACAACTTATTATTATTATTGATGGCTTTATTCAATATTATTTTCCGGTACAATATAAAATTCTCAGCTAGAGGTACTTCAACAAGTTTTTTTCTTCACCAAAAAGAACAAAAAAAGAAGGTTAAGGAAATCTGAGTCTGTATAAATTATCAAATTTGAAACATGCTTAAGAATACAAGTTATTGACTAGGCTAACTCTAACAATGTTCGTCAGAGTATATTTCCTAGGTAATGTATTACAGAACTTTTATAGATTTGCTTGCATGCATGGCAATGTATTTACGTCTCGTTCTACCAGAAGATATACAAGGAGAAAGATATGAATGAAGTGGATGGTTAGTATCTGATAAGATAACACCTGCCATGAATTTGCAAGACTTAAAATGTCTATCCACAAACATATTAATAATGACCTCAAGAGATTCACCACACACCTTGCAAACTGCTTTCAGCACTCTCCCCAGTACAGCATAATCTTTTCTCAAAAACCCAGGAAAGAATAATGGAGAACAGTAAAGAATAACAGGTAATATGCAGGAATTTACAAATTGTATGAGTAAATGGCGAGTAATCCAAAAAGCATGCAGTCTCTTCATGTAGTAAGTCAAACGGTAAACTTTTTTCGATAAACAGTAAAACATGAGAAGACCATGAGAGATCAGGGGAAAATGTAACACCAAGATAATTGATCTTCGACAATGTGTTTATTAAGGAGTCTCCAATGGCACAAGCATTATAAGATCCCAAAACAGTATATAGGTGCTGTCTATGTCTCAGGCTAATATTAACAGCTTGACATTTTAGATGGACTAAGTAGGAGATCAATATGAGACAAAAACTCGTTCATTTCTATAGGATTCTCACTTATCTAGGTGACTCGATAATGCATAAATTAATTTTTAATGTTGGTTATCGAAGGCAATCCTTCAGGTGATACGCATAATTTGGATTTCTTTTATTGAGAAAAGGAACCAAGTTCCTTATTCTAATGATCTAGTTAATTGTAACACTATATATCAATATATGATCATATTGAAATAATTCTGTTTAGAAATTAGGATGTGTATCAGGCATCATTATTATACTTATAAAGATCTAGATCTCATATGATGTTAAAATTCTCTTGAGAAAAAAAAACACAACTTATTACGACCTCATTTCAAAGAGATTTTATTTTGCTTAGATTAAAGAATTAATTAGAAGATATTAGAACAATGTATAAATAAGGTAATAGTGATTGGTGATTGATCATAATACTATGAAACTAATAAGCTTATAATTCATGTCTTATTTTATATTTCAAAATGAATTCTAATTCTTTAACATAGGTGGATTATCATTACAATGATTCACATGTATATTATCGGAAAGGGGTTTTGTGTGTGTGTGTGTGGGGGGGTTTGTATGCATCCATGATGCCGCCTCGCGAGATTCGAACCCAGAACCTAAGGAGTCCCATAATAGGATAAAACGGCCGTCCACTGCTTCCAAGTTTTCTTTGGTGGTTTAGCTTCAATTGATTGATGATCTCAACTGATAAAAATATTACTTTACTGCATATAAAACCGATTGTTCTGTCCAATGGATTAATCTTTGACTTGGAATAATTTGAGAGCTCATATCAAGAGTTCAGTCTTGTGAATAACCATCATTTTGTTATTTAGTGTCAATGAATATCATCAATCTATTAGTATTCTTTTCATTTATGTTTAAGATCAGAAATTTCGTCTCAAAAGCAAATCGTATAACTGATTTAATTATCCCATACATATTTATGATTACAAAAAGCAGTGAGTAGGACTTCCCTGGCAGAGGCTATATACGCGTGGCCATGTGAGAGCATTTCGAGAGGGAGAGTGGACTCTCTCCACTCTCGGCCGTATCAGGGCATTTGGAGGCTACTAAACACTGAATGATCTGGTATCTCACATATGTTCAATATATAAACAAAATCATACAAGAAAAAGAATAATTTATGTAAAAACCTACTCTTTAATAACAGGTTTTTCATCAAGTGATGGGGTTTCTGGAATTTCTTGGGGAAAAAAATATTAAAAAAAACAGGAAAAGTTTGAAAATCAAACAAAAAACAGTCACATAAATACTAATTAAAGAAACCGTTACTAATTGGTAAAATTGTAGTGTTAAGATAACAAGCAGTCAAGATCCTCATCTGTCTACCAAATGACCAATATACTAGCCCAGGAAAATGCTATGTTATTAACTCACGGATGTGAAATATAGGTGTTGAAGTTCTATAATATCAGTTGCTAGTTGCTAGTGTACTATCATAGATACCTTCAAAATATTGTTCACATTATTACCCGTGTTAAGCGCAATTTATTAATCCCTGCCTTCTGTTGTTTACGAAATTGAAAGGACGAAAAGAAAATGTTAGGCGCTTCAACCGGTTTGGTGGACACGGAATGTTCATGTAAGGGGAGTTGGAAAACGCTGATTACAAACCAATGGTACACAAGGGCTCCAGGATCCTGAGGGAACAAATGGTGTATGAATCAATCGTTGGTCACCATCTACCATCGAACTGCATCTCCTCATGATGCTACACTGCCTTGCGGATCAGACCTTTGGGTCAAAGGCTCCGGGCGTGGCCCTCTAAGTAAACAACATGCTTCAGTTTGGGCACCTGGGCAGTATCACAGCACTCACACAAATCAAATGAGATTTGTGTGGCGCACATTTATCTGGTGCTTCCGTGTACCAGTATGTGTTTAAATAAGTAAATAAATAAGACGCGGAATAAGACAATGGACCGCAATTCACATCTTTAGAGTGTTCGAAATTTTTTCATTTTAAAAGTTACTGAACATATCGAAACTCCTCTCTATCACCTACAGTCAAGTTAAAAGACTTATTGATGTATTTAAAAGAGCACTATTAAAAGCAGAGTAGAAGGAGAGGAAATGATGCAATAGTTCGTACTAGTCTATACAAAAACATTTAATCCTCCAATAGCAAATCACTTTGTGGTGTGGGTTACTTATATCCACATAAATAGTATATAGTGATGGTCAGACATAGAATGTATTTCACCAGAAGATCGATAAGAAAACAACAGCAACGAAGCAAAATTGGTATGAAAATGCATAAACAATGAAATCATAGAAGATGAACTGATATTTGCAGAAGGAACAGTCAAGATTGAGTCAATTGATTGATAGTTTGAAAACTAACTGTTTACTGTATGGCTATCAGATTTTAATGAGATAGTCTGTAATTTGTGCTTAAATACATTCAATTGTCCTAATCCGTGTTCTTGTTTACTACAACCTTAGCCGAGTAGAATTAATACTTGGAAGGAAAGTTAAAATACACATAAAATAGAAAAAAAAGGTCTCAGTTACTTTCGCCTCCATTGTCTTTTAATGTGACTTCAAAAAGCATACAAACTTATTAACTCCATTTTGCCATCTCTGTGATTGGGTTACTAATTATAATGACAGTTGTTGAATCGAGTCTGTTGTTAACTAATTCACCTATTGTTTTTTGGACCAACAATCAGTATAGCCAATAACTTAACAATCGTATTTTAATGTATGCTGGTTCAAGATATAACTTTTCCCTCTAATAAGAGAGCCAAATAGACCACGGATATAGCCAATAGATAGAACTCCTATTGTATAGTTCATTTATAACTCGAAACTCGTACAATAACATAGAATAAATAGCTGACGACGCGACAACATCATTAACAGAAAATCACAATGTGTGTACATATCAATATCAAAAGTCATTGGAAAGGTAGCGAAATCCAAGTCAGTACAGCTTAATGGATTGAGATATCAATTGTAACTCAATATGTTATCAACACTAAATATTAATTTTAATCCAATACAATACATTCATCCTTACCATGATGTAATTCATCATCGAGTTGTTTATCAGTAACACCACCATTTGATTCGTCATACTTCATATGATTGTCTTCATTATCAACATTATTCCTATCATATTCATTTGTTTTTTCCTCATGAGACGCCATGTCACTTAGTGAAGATTCTTCATGTTCATTAAGTGTATTATCATTATCATGTGTAAACGACTGTTGATTCGAATCCATTGATGATGATGATGGTGGTTCATTTAGTGTTTGTTTTTCTTCACCAACTGATAAATGAGAATCAACATTTTCTTCATTTGTTTGAATACTTCCTTCATTATTATTATTATTATCATTATCATTATTACTACTAACACTATTGACATCATATTCCGCCAGTTTCATTGTTTCATCATACTGTTTTTCTTCATTAAAAAGTCCTTTCGCTTTACGTTCTTTTAACTTGTAATCATAACAATATATATAGGAAAAAAAATGAAATTAAGTACAAAAAAAGATAAAATGTGGATATTTACATAAATTATTCATTTTAGATAGAGTAGAAAAAATTGGCGAATAGTTGAAGCGTTCAGTCTTCCTGTGGAATGATACTTCTTAAGGAACATCAAAAAGAAGCGGCATTATTAAGGAAGGCTCTGAAGACCTTGGAGAGTGACTGAATAACATAAGGGACAGATGTTTGAAACAGGTTAAACTATTATTATTATCATTATTATTATTATTAGCTTCATTCAATATTATATTATTTGGTACAAAATCGAATTCTCAGCATTAAGTATTTCAACATGTTTACGTTTCTTATTTCTTCGTTGCTCCTGATGATAAACATTCAGTGATCGCCAGTTGGATGTCAGCAGTTCAGTCAATCGACACATGAATAATGTATATTCTTTTTGCTGCATGTTCTCAGCAAACACGACATCTCTGATTAGGCCTTTTGTAACCTTTACAACGAAAGGTTGTACAGTTTTCAGAAACGCACCGGAATAGGTTGTGTGCTTAATAGCCATAATGATGTATTAAAACAAACAATATTAGATAACTTGTTGAAATACATAGATGACAGGAACAGGTAGCCCAGATGTTTAAGCAGGCCGCCTACGCCTCTGTTTGTAAGTAGGTTTTCTTGAGTTAGCCCAGTAATCTTTCAGTCCTATAGATGGGGTTGGAAGTAAATGAAACGAAGTATAATGTTTTTATTTTTTAGAGTAGACAATTTTTGAAACCTCATTTTGTATGTTAGAAGACGGCATTGCATCTGATTCCCTCGACATCCAGTATTCAGTAGTATAAATTCATCTTTGAACCCTATAGCTTTTAGAGCAAAATTTTGAGATTTCAGGGTTCTACAAAATACGAGCAAAAGAAAAGCTATCAAAAATTTATTTTATTGTTGTTTAAGAAGTTGAGAACACGAAAAGCGAATGTCCAGCTCCTTAACTGGGTTGGTGGATATGGAAGATCCACCTAGGGAAGTTGGAAAACCCTCAATCCAAACCGATAATGCACATGGACTCCAAGATGCTGAATGAATCAATGGAGTATGAACCTATTGTTGGTCACCGGCAACCATGAGACTGCATCTCTCTACGTTGCTCTACTGCCTTGTAGATCAGACCTCTACGTCAAAGGCTTGAGGTGTAGCCCCCTAAGAAAACCACCTGCTTCGGTCTGTGCACCCGGACAGTAACACAGCCCACACACAAGTCGAATGATTTATGTGGCGCATATATATTGGATGTCTCTTTGTACCAATGTTTATGTGTTTAAATAAATAAATAAAATACAAAAGCTTACATTTTGGACGTATTCTTGAAAAATTTTATGTCCTTTTTCAATTTGATTTCGTTTAATGGATTGTGCTTCACGCAGGGATGCAGCCAGAGAGCTAAGTATACACATACATACAAGAAGGAGAGAAATAAGCAAACAGTGAATGAAAATATCTATATATCATCTACTTATGTTAAACCTAAATAATCATTGTTCTGAGATGGTGGAGAAGATTTGTAGCTCAGGTGGGTGATTTTTATGTTGGTTTGTTCTCTGAGCTGGATGGTTTGGTCGTGGAGCTTTCATCGTCCTTCTGAACGACATCATCAGCACAAACTTCGGGTAGAAGTTTGTGCTACCCGAAGTTTGTGCTGATGATGTCGTTCAGAAGGACGATGAAAGCTCCACGACCAAACCATCCAGCTCAGAGAACAAACCAACATAAAAATCATTGTTCTATTCACACACACAATGAAGAGAGAGATTAGAAAATAGGCCCACAAGATGTATATTATGGTTACCTACACAGATTTCAATCATTCTTAATATTGTTTAGTTTACATTCCATAGCAGTCTAATTTCATAATACATTGATTCTAGTCTAAATTTTTGGTGAACAATCCTCATTATTCAGCATCCGTTATCAGTGTTTTCAAATATCTAAATCCTTATCTGATGATTATCTTACATACGCTGGACATGTAAATAAAGAATGCGAACGTTTTAGAATAAATGAAATTACAGCAGATCAATTTAAATGTCTGATTTTTATCTGTGGATTAAAAAATCCGGAAGATATGGACATACGTACCAGAATTCTATCACGCATTGAGCAGGAGCCTAACATGACCCTGCAAATGGTTACAACCGAGTGTCAACGGTTGTTAAATCTTAAACATGATACCACGATGGTACAGCAAAATGCAAAGACTTCCAATCTTGCTTCAATAAATGCATGCAGATCTTCCAAACCTTCCAAACAAAAGACGGCGAACACACAGAAACCTTCTGGTAAACCACCATCATCATGTTGGTTCTGCGGATCATGGCATTTTGTGAAGTTATGCCCATTTAAGAACCACAAATGCCGCCAATGTCATCGCATTGGTCATAAAGAAGGTTACTGTTCCTCAGATAAACGTCAGTTCAAACATCGTGGCATAAATGTGAAGCGACAGCTACAGAGTCAAGTCAAAAGCACATTTGCAACTTTTAAAGTGGGATTTCAAAGTAAACGGAAGTACGTGAATTTATTAGTGAATGAAAAACCTATTCGTCTTCAATTGGACACTGCTTCCGACATTACACTGATCTCCAAAAACACATGGCGTAAGCTAGGGTGCCCACGCATCCGACCAACAGAGCATGTTGCTCGAAATGCTTCAGGCGACATAGTGAAGCTAACTGGAGAAGTCACCTGCAACGTGCAGTTCAAGGGACATAAATTTACTGATGTTTGTTATCTAACAAATCGGCATGATTTAGATCTATTGGGATTGGACTGGATTGAGAAGATTGATGTCTTAAATAGTTTATTAAATGAACTATGTTCTCATGATTCTTGCTCTGATTCTATCCAAAATTCTCATGATATTTCTAAATCAAATGCCTCTGGTGTGTTATGTTCCCCTGATGTTTATGAACTAAATGCTTCCGATGTAACATGTTCTCGTAATATTTCTGAATCGAATTCCTCCGATTTAATGTGTTCTCATAATGATGTCAAATCAAATACCTCCGATTTGATGTGTTCTCATAATGATGCTGAATCAAATAACTCCGATGTAACATGTTCACAAAATGATTCCCCATCAAATTCGTCAAACAAAGTCTGCTATCGTAAGGTCTCAAAATCTCATGCATTTAATTCCTCTAAAATGCCGGCTGCATCTCACGCAAATAATCTACGAAAGCGAAATACAAAGCCCATTTTCAGACTCAAACGACCAGTAAATTATGCTGCTCTGTCAGTCGTTGATCAAGAACTTGAAAGGTTTGAAGCACTAGGTGTTGTTCAGCCAGTAAATCACTCAAACTGGGCTCCTCCCATAATAGTTGTGAGAAAGATCGGAACTCAATGGAATCGCCATCATGGGGCAAAGCGGAAAATCTATCGTCGTTCCCGATTCTCACCTTCACAGAAAGCCCAGAAACCGTGCTCAATGTGGAAATTTTCCTTGGACAGTTTCGGCATAGAAATTTCTGCAACTAAGAAGACTGTTCAACCTCAACAACATCCTATTGGGAGATCACGACAGAAACGCAAAGGACATGATATTATGCAGATGGACCCAAAGAAAGGAGCATACTTTTCCGGGGGGAGATATCGATGATATATTAGCTACTGTTTGTAATTAGTGACTAACCGCTTTTCTTTTTTTTCCTTCCAGTTAACCAAATTGGTCCTTTTTCTTTTACAATGACCACAACGCCGTCCAGTTTCCCTTATGCACGCAGTCAATGGCAGTGTTAACAAAACTTTTTTTCGTCAAGGGGGAAGATGATGTGAACCGCAAAACAAGAAGCCTTAACAAATTACGGAAGCTATTTTTGGGGACGTTAATTCGTTTAATTCAAAGCTTGTAAAATTGTAACATTTACTTTTGCCCCTAGCCTATTCTACAGATCATAAGCTTTTGTTTGATGTATAATTCATTGCCATAGCATTTTCTGTTCTAAAGCTATTGTCATTTAGACGTAATCTTTTGTACCCTATTTTCTACTATAATTCCCCAGTTTTGGACATGATTGTATTTTTCTAATTATTGTACGTTGTGGTCCGCTTAGTCATCTATTTATTCATGTAACTTTTCACCCTAATCTGAATTGGGAATTCGAGTGCTAGATCGGGTTGGAATAAAGTGATTAGTGTTCCATCTGTCTTGTCTTCTCTCTCTCTCTCGTGCTTGCCAGCCAATCAGGGACAGAATAGTTTTCGTCTCTCTACCCCTATTTCGAACTCGCGCATATTCGCCTCAAGGTTAAGCCAGTCAGTCTATCGTGTCAAGGTCTTAATCTACATTATACTCCGCACTAAGTGGGTAGACAGATTCAAGGACGTAACAATATTTTAATCTGTTAAACTTAAAAAGAACTGTGAAGTTGTTTGTTTTGTAATGGCACCCAATAAGTGAACTGAAATGGTTGGGCCACCTGTAAGGTATGCCTGAACACCGATTACCACGACGCGTTATGCTGACTAGTGTAGAGGATGGTTGGAAGAAAGTTAGGGGCGGCCAAACCAAAACATGGCATCAGTGTTTGAAGTCACTAACATCTAGTCCGAGCCATATTGGCAGATGCAGACTACTTGATTGGGGTCCGCGTGACTATCGTAACCAATGGTTGGCAACTCTAGGTGACATGGCTCAGAATCGATCACAATGGCGTAGGTGTATACACTCTTTATCTTCCCTTAAACCTTTATAACTTTCTTCCTACCTATACTATATTCTTATATACAACCAACCACCACTAAATTAACTACTTCTATGAATCCGGTGTTGATCTTGTTGTGCTAATGAGTGAGGTATGGCAACTTGGACCGATGCATATGTATGCCTGGTCCTACGTTGTAGCTGACTGACTGACTAACTCCTACCAATCCATGATATTGAGCAACCATCTTCCATTTTCTTTGGTGGAAAACTTCCTCACACCCAACATCGTTCAGTTTCACTGGTTACGCTCTTTCAATAGAAATCTGGAGAATCCCTCTCAAAGCTAGTTACTGGTGAATACATGATAATTATTGTGGTGTTGTAATGACTGTTGAATTATAGTGAGAATGGGAGTTGAATTTGTTTTTTACTCTTATAACTCGACCCTTCCTATCACTATTTCCAATTTCTTCGATTTTTTATTCTACTTAGAACTGGGTATTGATGGCTTAGCTCATACACGTGATTGGATTAAACAAGCACATGATGATATTCTTCATGTATCACATCAACCAATTAATCACGAGTGCCTCAATAATTCCAACAATATCATCACCAATAATAAGAACACTCCAGTGGATCTTAAAAAAACTTCGGATGATTGTTCTACCACAAATAATGATACTATCCCATTGACACCGAATAATATACTACGTGAAACGTACTTAAAGTTATTGACATGGCCACGTAATCGTGATTGGCCTGAAGTAAATTTTGAGTGTTGAATGTTATATTTATAACCTTTAATGAATGGTCTTGGTCCTACGTTGTAGCTGACTGACTGAATAAGTGAACTACAACAATAAACGAAAGATCTCCCAATATTTCGCCTAGTTCTAAACTGCTGTCAATTTAGATATAAGTTGTGATAAAAATCAAAACTTATTATAATGATATCTTTAACATATCACCATAAAAGATAGTATGAACAATTTATAAAAAACAACTTAAAATCTTTAGTACTTTAAGCAAAAAATAAACAACGTTGGAATGATCTTTCTTAAAGTCAAGATAATTCAACTTAATGAGAGAATTAAACAGACCTAAAAATCATTGATACCAAACCAGCAATGAAAAAAGACAGATCAAACTCCAATCATCTACTGTATTGGAGAGAATCAATAAACTACTTCGACGCACAATGAAGATCACAGTTAAGTCAAATAAGGTATCTCGTCAGCACTCCTTTCACCCTAAGTGGGACAACACTAGATTTTTGAAATGGATTTACAGGTGTACAAATGCAGCGTTTTGCTTAAAAACTAATCTGTTATCATTTAAATTGACATTAAGCAGTAAATCAGTTAGGGAAGTAAACCACACTACATATTTTAAAGCTCATACTTGGAAGGTTGTCCTTTGACAAAATCCTCCCACATGCAAAACTTTGTCGACTAAGACTAACTATAGTTAGAGTGAAATTCTCTAAATAAATATCGAAGGGGAAGTTCATGACACAACAGTTCCGTGTGCATTTTTGTCATGAGGTGGGATAACTCTAACAGCAATTTCCATAGAGTATACAACAGTTATATTTATCTTCTATCTCCAGCCACTCCAGAAAACTACCATGTTGAGAAAGATTTACAGTGATAAACCAAAGAAAATAGAAGTTCTATCCATTATAAATCAGTGATATACCAACAAGTTTTGATGACAATCAGCAGAGCAGCTCACTTGTATGCAAAATAACAGTGAACAATACACCAACTCAATAATTTAACCATATACAAAATAAACTGACAGAATATTATGTACCGGAAATAAATCGAGAGGATTCTAGCTAGATGGATGTGTAGTTTCCAAATGTATCTAGGGATTTATCATCCCCAACAATCTTATTATTGAAGAGACAAAATATGGTTAACAAAAACAGGAGGATGTTACAGTGTGAAAGCTAAGGGTGAAGGATACAATAAACATTTTATGATTTAACAATTTTTGTAAGAATATCATTAAAAATATATCAAAACGAAACAACCCATCTTTAAACAAAAATTTTAGTGAAACATACTAGACTGGTATAGTAGTTTTACCTTACTGCCACAGTAAGACAAAACAATTACAACTCATCTTGAGAATCCACACAATTAAAAATTTTCTATAAGACAACCAACACCTTTTAAAATGCTTTAGTTTGAATTAAGGGAAAGATACTGTTTACATTCACATAAAACTGTGTCTACTGATTAGGTTATGTCGACTGAGATAGGTTTTATATTGAAGAACCTTCTAAAGAAACTTAAACTTGTGCTACGGAACACCCAACCCAACCTTAAATGACCTCTTAATAATTCTGTACAGCTAAAAGCCTACGAATTAAATCGACAATAGTAGTATGTGCTATTCCCAATAACCACCAAATCTATATTAAAAATATTACAATAATTCAGATAGGTCGTTCCAACTACAAACATAAGTGAGTACTGGAAGTGTTGCATACATTACTAAATCTTCCTACCCTCAATAGAAAACAAGGCCTGATATTCATCCGGATGTTTATCCAAACAACTACATTTGACTCGTCATTTCACACGCAATTACGGCACATATAGAATTCTTCATATTACAAATGTTTCATTTCTCATACCAGCCATCGTATATACAAATGCACATAGTGATATCTCATACATAATCCCCTTAGCCAAAAATTTCACATGACACTGACATAGTTGGACCTATTTTGACTTCTACTAAGATAAATACTCTTCTCTATTCCTGTTTATAATTTAAACCTGTGTTAATTTGATTCCATTATTTATATACTTATTCCAAAGGTGTGACATACTAGGCCACCAAACAATTGACCTGATAGACGCAAATGCAGTAATAAGTGCACATCAAAGTGATCACATGTGATCAGACAACACAGCATGACAGAACTAATTTCAGTTTCGATGTAAATAAAACTTTATGGAATGTTTGAAAATCTCGTAAATGTTTGTGTACAAAATTTTCAGATCGAGATCACTCTGTCGAACAACTTCCCTTTTGACATATTAATAGATCATTCTACCTACGTTAAAAGCCATGATACTGCCTTCATTTATCACGATAGACGGGATAAATTTCAGTCGGATTATCACGTGACTCAAAAAATCACAAGGAAAAGGACTTACCCACAAGTTGACGGACAATTGGTAGAACTTCCGTATTCATCACCACCATCACAACAATCTAAAAATCAGAAATGTGCTATCTATAAATTGAGCAAACGTTATCTCGTTAATTAAATTACATGGAACTGAACTTTATTTTACCCAATGTGCGGTTGCTGGAAGGAATCCACTAAACTAATTATGTTCGTTGATATTAGGCACTAGCTAAAACATCGGGTGAGTTTTGCAATCATGCCACATGTGTAGATGTATCACCTGACGATCAGAACGAAATATGACGTTGAAAGACGATTCGAATCCAAACACTAAGTCTTAAACAAATCAATAAAAATACCAATTATTGATAGTTAGGATTGAAAATTAAGTCCATATTGATTCCCCATGTTAATCAATAATACAAACAGTAAGTTGATGTCTTTATGTTGAGTACTACAGACAAACCAGCTAGTTAGCACCTACTAATACAATCCAAACCAATGATCAACGACTCCTCTCCTGGTTCTCACATCCTCCATCGTCCTCCTGAACTTTTTGTTGATGCAGATATGGTCGATTTGATTCTGTGTAGTGTGACCCGGTGAAATCCAAGTGGCTTTGTGTATGTTTTTGTGTGGGAATATGGTGCCACCTATGACCAGTTTATTGAAGGCACATAGGTTTGCAAATCTCTCACCGTTTTCGTTCCTTCCTCCCAGTCCATGTTGTCCCATGACGTCTTCGTATCCAGTGTTGTCCTTTCCAACCTTGGCATTGAAATCTCCCATTAGAATGGTCAGGTCCTTGGTTGGGCACTTCTCAAAGATTGACTGCAGCCTATCGTAGAATTGGTTTTTAGCGTCTTCATCGTAGTCGTTGGTCGGCGCATAGCATTGGATGATGTTCATTGTAATGCCCTCTCTCTTTGTTCTGAAGGAGGCTTTGATGATCCTCGGTCCATGAGATTCCCATCCTATAAGTGCATTTTGTGCTTTTCTAGACAGCATCAGTGCCACTCCTTGTGTATGTGGGGCATTTTCTTCTTCATGACCGGAGTATAACAGAAGTTCCCCTGAAGACAGTCGTTGTTGTCCAACCTGCGTCCAATGTGTTTCACTGATTCCAAGCACTTCCAGGTTGTATTTCCTCATTTCCGCAGAAATTTGGAAGACTCTGCCGGTCTCCCACATTGTCCGGACATTCCATGTACCTATAAAAATTGTCGCTCTGGTTGTAAGAAGGTGCATCGGCCTCATGACTTCCGAAGGAACTCGGCTTTCATCATGAGACGTCATTTTTCCTTCTACTCCCAGGGCAGAGTTTGAATGGTTTGAATGAATTTTTCTGGTTAGCGTTTTTTTAGCGAGTTGATTTTCTACGAGATGGGGTCGCTAACCCCATGCCCAACCCTCCTCCTTTACCCGGGCTTGGGACCGGCAGTAGCTCCTGGAGGAGCTACAGGCGGAGTTGACTTCATGGATAGATGACGAATTTTAGTTTGGTTCTTTCAAGCCTTCTTCCGACGCGCTATTTGGCCAGACAACACAACAAGTCATGGAAAACAGCGGCCGTCTTTGAGCAGCATATATTTTAATCACCAAGATCAATGACGATTCATGACCTCATCAAATGACTTTCTCTCTATGAAATATAATACATCTAATCACAAAAATTATTCATTAAGTAGTTTTATCGTACGCCAGCAATGCATCAAATATCGAATACTTCCAACTAATGGATTTCCTTCATCTTCAGGAACTTTTTGCTCGTAAGAGAAAACTGTCATTATAGAACTACTGGATAATCAAGTCGACATTTAGTAATAAGCTAGACATCTTTACGGCACCTGCAGCTTCTATCCCGCCAGTGACTTCAACAAACTTATCAAGCCTGATTAGATTCCCAAGACAAGAAAAGTACACAACTTTCTCAACTAATCCACTTAAGGTGGTCAGGCAGGCTTGATAGATGCCACAGAATCGACACACAAGAAGTGTTTTACGTTCAGCGAGAAACTTATCCTACATATTTTTCGAAGTTCTTAGAGAATTTCGAAAAAATGTCCTTCGTTAGAGCTCTCATAAAGCAGATCTTTTCAAAGACAAAAGCCAACACAAAACTTTTTAGTCGGAGCAGTCGACTACTGCGCAAAAGTCAAAATGTATGGCTACAGTCGACTATCGCTATCAACACCTGCTACATAAATTGTTGGGACGTAAAACAGTGATAATGTATAAAATGAAATTTGAAATCTGCTTCGTCCTTTCGGGTTCATTGTTCTTTAGCTGGATATGATGAGGATAACCGTTAAAAAACCACGATGGTCTTGCAGTTCATCAGCAGTTATTACAATAATATTTCTTATACGATAGGATGATCAATAGACAAAACCCTGATAAAATTACGTTCAGCGTCTACACCAACAAACTCAATCATAATGATAGCAGGATGTTTGTAAAGACTTCGGGACTAAAAGGTGATACCTTTACGCAATACATCGTACAGCTAAGGCTACAGCCCCTAAAACTTTGAATAGCTATAAAAATATCGACTAATGAGAGGGCAGTGAGGTTTGTAAAATCATTTCTGTATCTAGATTATCGCTCCAGTCTGCTAGTCCAGTGACAGACCCAGGTTTTGATCTTTAATAAGGAATTCTCAACAATAATCAGAAGTCCGGAGTCTAGTGAATATGAAGAACCACCTGTTGTGACTTGACTTTTCCATTCATTTTCTTAGCTGATATAACTTACAATCACTTCAAGAACACTTGTCAGTTCACACATGACTCCGTTCAACTCAGCATCACATGTAGGGCCTAACAGGACTGGTTTTAAGAAACAAATTTCTATAGTAGACTTTAGTCAGTCTAGAAGATGCGAAATAAAATTAGCCAAAGCCCATGAACAGACGCTCACAAATTCGGCTAACGAACTGACATCCCGGGAACTTTGACACCCACATGTCATGCAAAATGTCGTAATTCATTTAAATAAGTATATATAACTTACCACAAATAGAATCGTTGACATAAGCAGAAGGAAGATACACAGGTCTGTACTGCATATCGCGACAGAAGAAACGGCCATTAAGACACGCAGATGTGCCGGGTTCATCTGATCCATCGCGACAATCACAGTAATCGTCGTTGACTTGCCACCATGAAATAGCTGAAGAGCCATCTAAGCAAGTAAACGACTGCCCAACTTTATAGAACGAAGATCCTGGAAAGGATTATTCATGAAAAAGTTTATCTACTTGATATCGGAACTCCTTTAGGAAGCTCGTCCCCATGTATGTCACCAAGTATGAGAAACAAGGCACAAAATAAACAAAGGAGAGTCTGCATACTATATAAGCTAATACTCAGAGTAGCGGGCAATTTAAAAAGGGGTAGTCTTCAGTCTTCAGTCTTCATTAATAAGGATGAGAGGTCTAACAACCTATATCAATCCTCGAAGTTTGTAACACTATTTAAGTTTAATTTCGTTTTGATTATATCAAATTAAGGTGCTGATATTGCTTGTTCCTGTAGAGAATCCCAGTAACTCACTTCTCGGTGCGAGAAACAAAACTCCAAACGTAGACAATTTGATCTTGGTTTACGGACTTTTTTCGAATGTCCTCTCAAATGATCAGTCCTAGACGGAAGGAAAAGATAAAATATATTAGTACCAAGGTCATCGTTCAGGATACGCAAAATCAGTATTAGATCACTCTGCAGCTGTAAATAATTCCCCAAAATCAATAGTTTTCTAAGTGTTCGACATTGGATGCTGACCACGTTGTTTAAGCGGACTTGTTTAACTGAAGGCTTTCGGTCATGCATCCGTACCAGATCACGTATCGACTCAGCCTGGGACACTGCTCCTACGTTCACTAGCCAGTTAAGAATAAACGCTTTGCGATATATTGATAACGTATCAAATATATCTTTCCTACCTCTTTTCGTCTGACTTCTGGTTTCCATTGGTCGGGGAAAAGCTTCGCATATAGAAGGTGCTACTTGCAACAGGTTATAAAATCAGGATACTAGTCGTATCTTCAACCCTTTATTTTATGGTAAGATAACAGAAATAAGTTGAGGTGTCTCAGTCTGTCTTCATAAGATAGGCCAGATAGATCTTTTACTAATTTATTCCCTTGATGTTGGACTCTTTTCAGCATCTCCGCATCATATTTGAAACAAGGACTCGCTGCTTGAATCCTATATTCCAAATGTGATCGCACGAAAGTAGGGTATATTAATCTAAACATTTCCTCATCCAAATACTGGAAAGATCTACGAATAGACCATAATATCCTATAGCATTTTGCAGCAGGACGATGACTTAGCTACAGTTGGCAATTCACTTACATAAAGTAAAAAGAGAAGAGGACCGAGGATTTTGCCTTGGTGAAACTCACTTTTACAGGTTCCCACGGTGAGAGAGCTTCATTTACTCTTACCCTTTGTCTCCTGTCATGTAAAAAGTAACTTATTCAGTCTCTGACCGTATGAATTCCAAAACTTTCCAGTTTTAATTTAAGACCAGAATGCGAGACTTTATCGAAGTGATTTACACTTCTTAAGAATATCATTGCTTTTTTGTACTTTTTGAATCATTAGGCATTCTTAGTCTACTTGAGCTTGACGTATTTCGGTTGAAGTATGATATTTTACTAAACTGTCTTGTGGTACTCTCTTTCTCATTGACTCCGACACTTCAGTTTCAGTTTGGAAAGGAAAGGAAAGGCTTGATGGCTTGTGCTAGTCCTGGCAATTATGGTCTCTCAATTGATCCAACTTCCTTTTTAAAGAGTGGATAGATAGAGCTTCAATCACGTAGTAAGGCAATGAATTTGTGGTGTTTGTATGAACTAACGATTCCTTTGTACTTGATGACTGCTCGATTCCGAATTCTAAATACAATACGATCATTCGTGCCATCCAATACTTCTTCGTTAAACTTCGTTATTTCTGGGATTCCTAGTTCGTACCACAGTACAAATACTCCTTATTACCGGAGAATTCAACTCAATGATGATTCATTTGGATAGTTGATAGTCTGTTGTCAAGTAATTTGTTCTGGGCTTGTGAACTTTTTTGGAGTGTCTTCTTTAGTTCGCTGTTTTGAAAAACAAGAAAAATGAGTTGATATCAGACTCAAATCTATCACTAAGTAATTTGAAAACTGTTGTAGTGACCGGCCAGTCTCGATAAGAACACGATTGGAATAATAGAAACAATTATTATTATTATTATTATTATTATTATTATTATTATTATTCACAAACACTTTATGGGTACATAAGTGCTGTGAAGAAACCATTTCGGGTTTCTTCAAAAATGCAATAATACACAGTTTTCAGTAATGTTAACAATACATATGCCATGTTTGAGAAAGGAAGGAAAAGGAAAATAAAATATTAATAATAGAATAGTAATAATAAATGAGGTTCTGTGTAATTAGCAAGAATTTTGAATTGATTTTGAAGGAGGAAAGGAAGAAACTAAGGAAATAGAAATAAAGGAGACGCGGGAGACGCAAATATCTTAACGCAGAACAAGAATAAACAACTATGTATGTATAGCAAAAACGAGTAATAAAAATGAAATAAAGCAGAATAAATTAATAAGTAAATAACTTATTATTGCGGTAAGATATGACGTTAGAATAAGTGTTTGTGCAAGCACAGTCATAGTTTTGGGTGATGCTATGAAAGTCTCAATTAAGTGCAAAAGATAATCAATATTTATGAGGTGTATATACATAGTGAAGATAAAACGAGTGTGATAAGTTGAATTCAATGTAACACAAGTTATTGTCTCAATCCAAAGCTTCTTAATCTTAAGAATAATATTTATTTAGAAGGAAAAAAGAGAGCGAGAGAGAGAAAAGAAATGAACACATAGTGAAAGGATTCAACCATGATCATAATAGTGTAATGGATATAGACCCTTACGGATAAATACGTGTAGATTTATGTAACAGTATATAGAGTGAAACCGGGTTGTTGTATAAACATTAGTGCAATAATAATAATTTAGAATGATGCTATCATAGTCATAATTGATTGCCGGTGAGTAAATACGGCCGTACTCACCGGCCCTTCACCTCCGTTTGACCGTCTATTATACGTGCACGATTATCGCACTAACGCTAGGTACCTTGTGGATACGGGTGCCCAAGTTTCTGTCGTACCTATCAGTAACAGTAAGTCTCAAGCTACGATGCTTCGACTACGCGCTGCGGATGACTCAGTCATTCCTAACTATGGTACACGACAACTTACGGTCAATCTGAGCAAACAGCCTTACGAAGGCCCTTTTCACGTGATTTCCCTTCACGAAAAGACCTTCAAGGTTGATCGACATGGCTGTGTCAAAGTAGTCAGCATTGATCGTCTCATGCCAGCACACGTCGATGACAGTGCCCTGCCTGATAAGCCGAGACCCAATGCTAAACCCACCAAAGCTTCTAGCGGGATCTCTACATCTACTTCGGATCCCACGCTAGATGCACCTGAGACCTCATTCTCACGTCCCAGTCAACAGCACGTGTCATCTGCCCCGTCTACGGACGAGACTTCACTCTCACGTCCAGACCTACAGACCACACCGCCCTTGACTGCGGATGAGATTGCAGGCTCACGAGGTTCGAACGAGACTACCGTCTCACGTTCTGGTCGCCGAGTACGCTTACCCGTACGCTTTCGCGACTAACCTCATAACCAACTACGGATACAGTATAGGAATCTACCCCTATACTACAAGAAAGCTACACTTTTCTCTTTTTCTATCATTTTTTTTGTGTTTACTCCGAGCCTACGCCTTCGACCATCGCTGTTCCGGTATCGTCGACTTCAGTAAACTTTGGCGAAAGCTGGCCTGATCACCCACGCTCTAGTCAACGCACTCAGTCGACCTCTCTGGCTCCAAATACGTATGGTATACATTTGGTCCCGAACATGGTTATTGTGGTCGCATCTGGTTCCTTGGCTCAATCTGGTTTCGTCCTACGTCTGCAGCGTTTCTGGTCCGGACCTCTACGAACGCAACCTTCAGATTCTGGATACAAACCACTCTGGTGTAGCATGCTAATCCAAGCAATCAATACAGCACGTTCCTTCTGGTACCGTTCTACGTCAAAGACTTTTGGTGGCAACTCGAGGATCAACGATCACTCCCTGTTCTGCCAACGTTTTCGTCCTACAATTGCACGTTTTGCGATCAGTCCCACGAATGAAACCGCTACGTATCGAAAGTGTAAATCCTTTCTAGCGGGGGGCTCCTGTAGTGACCGGCCAGTCTCGATAAGAACACGATTGGAATAATAGAAACAATTATTATTATTGTAACCAATTGTACCAGAGATTGTTTTACTGTATTTGTTTAACTGTATCCGTTTCACTTCTTGTTCCATATACCGCCTGGTTTGGTTCGAGCTTGCTCACGCACTGCCTGTTCGCCTGTACTCTTTGGCACGTCTCGGTATTATTTCGATACCACGAGATCGCCAATAAATACAATTGATCTGGACTAATAAAGCCTTCTGATTTACAAAGGAACCAAGTCGTTTTTGGGCGCGTAAACGAATTGTAGTGGTGATCATAGTCCGTCTTCGACTCGACATCCACTATAAACTGGTGAGCCGTTGTTGGAACACGCAATACAGCTGGTAACCCAATCCATCGAGCACAAGTCAAACTTGGCCAATTCTCCAAGCCAGATCAATCCGGTAAGTCTATTTATCTATCCACATCTGTTGCATATATTCGTATTGATATTTTTCAATATATAATATCTTGGCAACTTACCATGGTGGATAACGATAAGAGTAGAATAAATATAATAGACTCCGAGGTACAGGTTATCAACTTTCGACCGGTTCCTTTCATCCCTCATGATCCAGAAGTCTGGTTCGCGGCACTGGAATCTCAATTTGAGATCCGCCGCATAACCAACCAAAGGCAAAAGTACGCCTACGCTTTGGAATCATTGCCCGGGGATCACTTAACCGCTGTCCGTGAGGTTTTCCTCAATCCGAACGTTCCGAACGTCTACGACCTTCTTAAGGATGCTATCCTTCGACATTTCCTCCCATCAAGAGAGGAACGATTGAGGACTCTCTTAGCACGTCACCCTATTGGTGACGCTAAGCCGAGCCACCACCTCACGCGCCTGCAGTCCCTTGCAGGAAACTCGACAGCAGACTCTGAGATAGTCAAAGAGTTGTGGCTCGAAGCCTTACCAGTCAGTATCCAGCCAACCCTTACGGCCCTGCTCGAGGACACCCCATTGCACAAGGTGGCCCTCATAGCAGACAAGATTCTAGCACGTGTTGGCGCCGAAGACAACTATATTGTTGCCTCTACTTCCCGTTCTAACATTGATCTCGATGCTAGACGACCTCCGGCTCATGGGGATAGGGACAGATGTATCCATACTCGTCTCAGTTTCCGAGACCGCGCAAATGTGCCAGCCCCCTACGTCCCCCGACCCAGGTCACGATCTCGAACAGCCGTAACGACTCGCCCCAAGCGGGCATCTTCCAAGCCACGCCAGAAGGCGGTTTCGGAAGCGAGTCCAGGTTGGTGCTGGTTCCACCGTGCCTTCGGGGCCGGTGCCCGTCATTGTCGAGCTCCCTGCTCATACAAGGCGGGAACTTCCCGAGCCGGTGAGTAAATACGGCCGTACTCACCGGCCCTTCACCTCCGTTTGACCGTCTATTATACGTGCACGATTATCGCACTAACGCTAGG